AAGTCGGACGCTTAACCAACTGCGCCACCCAGGCGCCCCAACGTGTAGTCTTTAAAAATGACAGTACAAATGTAAAAATTCAGTGCTATAATGCCGACAATTTATTCCTAACTTACATAAGAGCTATCAATTCTATTCTCTTTGACTATGTGTACCAAACATAATAGTCTAAGTTTTGGTATTCATGTCATAAATGCCTGAGCATGCTCCACCTTGAGTCATCCTAAACCCTTATCTGATTTATAAATTTTTATTTTTTCTATTTTCACTTTTAATAAGAGCTCTTATTCTAGTACTCTTTTCCTTAAGAATGGTGCCCTTATCATGAAAAATAAACATGACTTGAAAACATGATTATGTAAAAATTAATAAAAGGATAGTGCATATAGAGGTTTTAATAACTTACAGAATGAAAGGATATTTCACTCTGTGAGTGATAGCATTTCAAACTAAGAACTGATAGGTAACCAAATTTATATTACCTCTCGTAATGGAATAATTATACTACATAGACTGCCATCCTGGCTAGCAAAGCAGATATAGTTTTCTGAGATGCACATTTTTCCATGAGTGTTAAAGTGGCTGAATGGTATCCATAAGCAACATTCATGTACTTCTTTCAAAGCCTCTTCTTTGGGGAGCCTAAAAAAAGCACTGAACTGCTCACTGTGGGCTCGATTTTCCAGACCTCTGTAGAAAAGAAAAAAGGGGGCTCAAATAATGACTTCTAAAAATGTACACATGCCCATATTGATTAATCTAAATGTACTTTAGAGCAGAAAGATTAAATACTACATGCTGTGTTCTTCAACAAATTATGAAATGGAAGAAACACTGATTCATAACAAATTCATTTTTTTTGGTCCCTTTTCCAATTTTGTTCTACTACTAGATTACAAGGCATAAAAGTTAGAGATGACACAGGACTTCATCTGTTAAGGAATGATCTGAAGAATTATTATTATATTATTACACATCCATAATATGCAAATATGGCTAAAACCAACATTGGCAAACAATTTTTATATGTGGTTACCAGAAAATCAAGAGTCACCCAGTTCAAATAAAATAAAAATGAAAAACAAAAAATGAAAAAAGAAAACTTAAAAATGAAAATTTATGTGGCGCCTGGTGGCTCAGTCGGTTAAGTGTCCGACTTCAGCTCAGGTCATGATCTCACCATGTCAGCCTCTGTGCTGACAGCTCGGAGCCTGGAGCCTGGAGCCTGCTTCGGATTCTGTCTCCCTCTCTCTCTCTCTGCCTCTTCCCTATTCATACTCTGTCTTTATTTCTCTCTCAAAAATAAATAAATGTTAAAAAAATAAAATAAAGAAAATAAAATTTAAAAAGTGAAAATTTATGGCATCAAAACTTACACAAGAAGAATAGTGTATAAAAGATAATGTTAAAAACTAAGTGAAGCAAACATTTAAATGAATGTTTTAAAAAATCCAAAGTAGAGGCAAGATAAAACAACACTGCTTGCACAGTATTGGGCAAAGGATAGGCATCAACAAATAAAGATGACTTGTTAACTGATATATAAATATATGAATAAAAACAATTGCTTAAAATAGTACAATTTTTCTAGAGGCGGTAAACACTTGTGTTAAGCAACAAAGCCATCTGGGGTTGTAAGTAAATTATGCAAGCTCTAACTCAAAGACAACAAAGTTAAAACCAAATTCATCATTTCAAAATATACTATTTGAATATGTGGTATTTCATCATGTCTTTCAAAATAATTCTGATGAACAGAAAGCCACATTAATTTTAACCTCACTGAAATTATAATTTGGTAGGTTATTTTATTATTATTTTAAAAGATGAGGTCTATTTATATAAATGAAAAGTGCCCAGGATACATTGTTAAGGAGGGTAGAAACAGACTGTGGAATAATATGTGACATTTAGTTCCAATCATGTTTTTTGCAAATATTTTTTAATTAATGCATTAAAAAGCCTGGAAAGATATACACTGAACTTAACTATTGCTATTGTGCTTTTGTATTGTTTAAATTATAGAAGTAATACATATTTGTAAAAACAATAAGCCAAAACAATAAAGATATTCAATTTGAGAAAAAAGTCATTTGGATACTAAGTCTAAATAAGCTATTGTTCTTCTTAACTTACTAGAAACAAGGATTTAGATACATATGATTTTCAATAAGCTCTCTTAAAATGCACATAGACAAAAATGAATATCTTAGATCTCATTTAAATAATACAGACTTGGTAATGAATAACTCCTTGATAGACGGCCATTTAGAGGATATTCTGAGGGAAATAAAATAGCTAAAAGTTTTATTTTTATGGTGGCGAATCAAGGAAGAAACTACAAAAACAAATGCTCAACTATAATATAAAGAGGATTCCTAATCCGTATAGAGTTCTATTTATAAATCATACACATGAGGACCTGTAAAGAATTCACCTCAGTGATCTATTTTCCAGAAAAGCAGACACGCTCACAAAGAAGTCCTCATGTATCCAGATTTTAGAAATGGTTTAGAAATAGGCAAGAAGAACAACTATACCCAATTAGGGCTACGTAGTAATCACACAACCCTCTAGAGGTCACGTGTTCTGGCCCATCCATAGGACTGCAGCTTAGGTTCCTCTCACAGTTTCCCATAGTCTACATCCTTGTGCTGGGGGCCAGAAGCTGCATTCACTAGCTATTTCTAGATCCTCTCTTCTCTCCCTCCCCTTTGGCATGCACGTTTCAGTCAACTGTTCTAAGTGTTGAGCAGTACAAAAGGACTCTGGTCCATTTCAGCAAACCAAATATAGTGGCAAAAAGCTATCAGAGATATTTCTCATGCAGACATTAATAATGATTAACATTTATCTAGGGTTTTATATTTTATAAAGTGCTTTCACACATTATACTGTTCATTCCTCACAAGTGCTCTCTGAGGTAGAAATGATAGATGAGTAAGAACTAAGGTCTTAAGAGATAATGCCTTGTCCAAGGGTGGCTGTACTCTCCTTCTAAAGTCCAGGCTTCACTGACTCAACTAACTTGCCTCTTCAAAAAAAATGATACTGTCTATAAATTATGTTTAAAAACAAACAATAAAAGCTTGAACAGACCCCTAACCAGCGAAGAAATTGAATCGGTTATCAAAAATCTCCCAACAAATAAGAGTCCAGGACCAGATGGCTTCCCAGGGGAGTTCTACCAGACGTTTAAAGCAGAGATAATA